TTCCACTCTGTCCTCGAAGAGTAACTATGGGTAACAAATTGTTATCCATAACAATAATGTTATGTTATGGATAACAATATGTCATATTGTTAACAATATAACATAACAATAATTTCTTTAGCTCACTATTTTTTAACAATATGTTATGGGAAGAATTGGAATCGATAATTATGTCACAAGATGCATATTGAAATAATTTCTTAATCCAATGCAAATATGTTACCAAATAGCATCAAATTTCAATTGTAGCTCTGTATGCGACATCTCGAGAGAGATTTGTGGGGGTGGACATGGCGTAAAGTGCAATTATGAGTGACTATATATGATTCAGTTGTTCAAATGAATGAATCTCAGGGTACTTACTATTTAAGCTTGCAAACTCGCTATTAGCTAGGCCTTGTAAATTTGCTATTTGTTGGATCGGGTAATTGGTTCAAGGTGAGTGAATCGTAAAAAATAAAATTCATAAAAAAAAAAAGACAAAATATTTTTGTCCCCCTTAGGTCCATCCCTGTATCCAGGGTTCCAGTACAAGAAAGAATCGATTGGACTCAATTTCGGTTCCTAATTTATTTCTTCGGAACCTCCAATTTCGATTTCGGTTCATGTTCAGGATGTTTGATTTTTTCACCTCTAATAAAAAATGTGGACGAAATTTATGGTTTGTTTCTAATTTTTTCCAGTGTTGTTTTTACTTTGAATTGAATGTGAGTAAAACAAAAGAACCACGAGTTGGACAATATTGCTTAGTGTATAGTTTGGCGCATACTCAACATGACAGCCCTCTCACAAAGAGGGTGGCACAACTCTAAAGAAAAAATTGATTTTATTGAATGTTTCATTTTAAAGTAGCAAAGGATGAATCACATGGAAAAAAAAATTAATTATTAACTCAATTAAAAGTAAGTTAGGAGTTTGTGACGGCTAGTAAATTACAAGTTAAAAGTAAAAGAGATTTTCGACAAATCACAATAGTCATTACCTACCTGTATAATCCCCACCCTTAGCATCTCTATATTTATTTATCTATATCTTCTCTCTCTCTATACATCACAATGGATTCCAGATATGCGGCATCAATGGGAATCCTCCAATGCATTTTGATCTTCTTCTTGTTTAGTTCTGCAAGAGCAGATTTGGCCAAAGACAGAGAGCAATGTGCCAATCAGGTAGTCGCGCTATCCACGTGTCTTCCATATGTTAGTGGTGATGCTAAAGTTCCAACAATGGACTGCTGTACTGGATTTAAACAAGTTCTTCAGAAGAGCCCCGAATGCATCTGCATCTTGATCAAGGATAGAAATGATCCCAGTCTTGGCCTCAAAATCAATGCTACACTAGCTTTAAGCCTTCCTACTCAGTGCCATGCACC